CAACAGATTATCAAGATTTTTACTATATTTTGTGTCCTTCATATATTACTTTCTTTTTAAATTTCACTTGTTTTTAGTGAGAAAACGTTAAATATAGAAACAAAAAATTATCGTAAGACGGCAGCTATAGACGTGTTTGCTTCCATTGTTCTGTATAAATTTCTAAACTATATAAAGTTTTTGTCTTCTTTATAATTGTCAAATGCAATCTCGAATCTTTATATCGATGGTGATGGAGTTTTGTCTTAAAACAACTACTGATGTGCTGTTTTTCATTATATTCGACTAACCTTTAATTTATAGATATATGTATGATTCATAACGTTCTTACATGTTAACAGGAACACTCATGTCTTCTCATCACTCTCATAGTATTCTTCTTAAATTTACTACACAAATCTCAATCGCAATATTTCTACATAAAAAAAATTGTTAGTCTAAATCTATCATCAAATTTGAAATAAATGTTACGAAATTTGTGTGTGTGTGTGTGTGTGTGTGTGTGTGTGTGTTATATTCAATTGTAAAAATATTAATTTTCCCTAGAAAATAATTTATATAAGCAGTATACATTCCTTCACGCTTTTTCACAGACTTAGGACTGTCAGGAACATATGGTACATATGGACATTAATAGAAAGCTATTATTAGATTTTTCCATTAACATTATTAGTTTCCATGTAGCGTTCCTGGTAGTTTAAATATATATTGCTCTGAAAGTATAGAGTTGAAATGTGTATGTACCTGATATTCCATACACTCTCAGAAACTTGAAAAACGAGATTAAAAAAGAAATATCTAAATAATCCAACAACATTGGTGCATAGGTTGAAGTCAAAACAATAAAAAAATTAATCAACTAATTAAAAGATGATGTAATCAGTTGGCCATGATATCATAGTAATAAAAATATATAAGAAATCAATGAAACAAAATTTTAAAATGACTAAAACAGTTGAAAACGATTATATATAAAAAAAATATGATGTATATAAAATTAATAAATTCATCTAAAATATAAAAACAAATGTCCTAAATAAAAATTTCATTAAACTAATATTCCTCATATTTTTTTCCTTGAAATTTATTAGTATGAAAACAATTAAAATGTAATTTAACAAACAATACAGAATGTTATTCTGCCGTAATCACTATCCAAAATGACAACGTGATTCTGTGAAAGGAGAGATATAGTGTTCTGGACATTATAGGCTGGAAGAATAGATGTCACCTCACATACACGACTTACGAGTCTTTCGACTACGCCATAGGTCCATTCATACAGCTTACGAGTCTCTCGACTACACCAGAGGCTCATTCATACAGCTTACGAGTCTTTCGACCGCTCCAGAGGCTCATTCATTCAATGGCTTAATAATGTTTTTAGCATCCGTAAGCCTTTGGTTATAACTATCCTCATAGCTTGTAATGTCCGAACGCTAGTGTATTCTCCGAGTTCCGATTGATTAAAGATGTATGAATCAATCATCTTATTAGATTTTACCTTATTTTTTTTCCAAATTTATTTGGTAACATTACACAATTATGTGGTACCTACAAAAGGCCGGAATCTGTTAACCTTTAATCTTAAACCCTCTATTACGTAGAGTCGCCACCCACTTTTTTTCATCTGGCATTCGCTTAATTCTTTTTCCATCTTGAGAAAGCAGTCATTAATAATTTTATCGACATCACAATCCTTATATATCGCTATACTACTCGTTTTAAACGCAGTATTAATTTCCTCGGCCAACTGATTTATCATCACACAACCGGCAAACATGTTTATTTTAATTGATTTTTGTTCTTGAAGACATTCTTGGATTTTTTTTTTAAAAGTTCATTTCTGATACTTTTAAAAAACATTATCATGTCGTAATTCTCATTACATCTGATGAAATATGACTTCAACCTCCCCCTCCCCCCCTCCCGAAAGCAGTTTCATATTCCGAAAAACCGACTGAGTCGGGTTTGAGGGCTAAAAGTTCCTCCCTTTGTGGTTCTTGCTTACGTTTTTTTTTAAAGGGCGCTGTCTATTACATAACGGCTCATGTCTAAAATAGTTATAAACATTTGTAAAATTCGTTTGACAAAAACGGCAGGACTTGTTGAAAACTATTTGACATGCGATTTCATGCTTTAATCTAGTATCCTTTCGTGTAAACACCTGCCCACATTTTCCACTAATAACTTCACAATGGTTATCAAAATCATCAAATTGGGACAGGTGTTTACACGATTTTTCATGCCTTACTCGGTTATTTGATTGATTGAAGGATTTCCCGCAATATGAACATATATATTCTATATTACGTGTAAGTTCTTGAGTTTGTGTTGAATCCCCACAAGTAGCCTCATGTCGCTTTCGATGATTTGATCTCGAAAAAGATTTGCCACATTTGGCGCATACACACGAGGCTAGTTGTTTGAATTCCTGGCTGTGAAAACATGTTACTTCATGTGCCATGCACTCTGTATGTGTTGCAAACGATTTATTGCAATTAGCACATGTTCTAGACGATGATTCCATTTTTTGTAAAATATATATTTAATAAAGAATAACTATATATAATAATAAAGAGAAAATTATCTCCGACCGATAAATGAATTAAAACAAAAAAATATAACAATAATAAGAAAAAAACGAACAGAAAAACTCTAAACTAGTGTAAATATATATAAAACAATAAGAAAACGAATGAATAATAACTTTAAAAACGATAACAAGAAACACACACGAAAATAACTTTAAATATATATATATAATAAGAACAAAAAAAGAAATAACAATTACTTTGTGAACGACAAGAAAAAAAACACTATAAATATTAAGTAAACACGAAAATAACTTTAAACTAGAATAAATATATATATAATAAGAAGAAAAAGGAAGAATAATTACTATAAATATAAAGAAAACAAGAAACGAAAAAACTTTAAACTTTAATAAATATATATGATAGTAAGAGAAAAAAAAAAGAACACTATAATAAGAGAATATGAAGATGTAAAAAGAAAACCCAAAAAGAAAAATGTTAACAGAATAGAAAATTTTTAATAGAGAACTAAATAAAAAGAAAAAACTTACCTTAGGATAGAAAAAAAAAGTATGAAGAAACAAAAATAACTTTGAAATAAAGAAAACAACACTATAGATAACTATAATAAGAAACTAAACTAATAATATAAACAAAACTGTAGACAAAGAGAGAGAGTTCTAACGCAGAGGACACTAAGTACGATAGGAACACTGTGAAGTCTGGAGCTAGAATGAGAGTAGTGGGGGTAGGCACACGGGTACCTCCGGCTGTATCCTCGAATCTGATTGGCTGATGGTTTCCCCCACCACTCTCTTCCGACCCTACCGCTTCCTTCGCAGTGGACCTTGTCCCCCCTACATGCCTATGCATGTTCAAACGTGAAGAGACTTGTTGCTTAACGCAGCTGTACTCTCTACGGCCTTCTATATAACAATGTTATGAAAATAATATTACGTATATTAACTTTATGATTATTTTTTTTCGATATTAGAGTCTACTATTAGGTTATTATATTTGTAAAATTCGAAAATGATACTAGTTTTAAGATCGATTCATTGATTTTCGATTTAATAAAACTTTCTTTGATATTGGAGTCTAAGATTATTCGAAGTGCGAGATACTCTCCACAGCCTTCTATATTATTGATAAAGATATGTTATGAAAATAATATTACGTATATTAACTTTATGATTTATTTTTTCGATATTAGAGTGTACTATTATGTTATTATAGGTGTAGTATTCGAAAATGATATTAGTTTTATGATCGATTAATCGAATTTCGATTTATTACAATATTCGTGATATTGGAGATGTATATTCTTAGATTATTAAATACGTTTTGATATTTATGAAAAAACAATATATAAAAGTTGATGAGAAGAAGAGGTGGGGAGGGGAGGGGTGATGACGTTGTTGTTAATTTTATGATATATCATCGTAAAATTATCAGAATATATGTATATACTTCATTGTTATAATTTATATTCGTTTGCAATAGTATATATTTTCTTCGTTACAATTTATGTTTATATTCCTTTGTAATAATATATATATTTCATCGTTGTCATATGTGTATATATTCCTTTTGTAATAATATATATTTCATCGTTACTAACTATATATGTATAAATTCGTTTGCAATAATATATATTTTCGTCAATACAATTTATATTTATATTCCTTTGTAATAATATATATTTTTCTCGTTACACTTTATATTTACTTGAGGTAGACAAGATGGGACCAGTTCAGACATGATATCGTAGAATGTCACAATATATGTCTATATTTATGTCGTTACACTTTATATTTACTGAGACGTAGACAAGATGTGACCAGTTGAGACATGATATCGTAGAATGTCACAATATATGTCTATATTTATGTTGTTACACTTTATATTTACTTGAGGTAGACAAGATGGGACCAGTTGAGACATGATATCGTAGAATGTCACAATATATGTCTATATTTATGTCGTTACACTTTATATTTACTTGAGGTAGACAAGATGGGACCAGTTGAGACATGATATCGTAGAATGTCACAATATATGTCTATATTTATGTCGTTACACTTTATATTTACTGAGACGTAGACAAGATGTGACCAGTTGAGACAGGTCCGGACCTGTCGAACTTGAAAATGAAAAAATACAAATTAGGATTAAGGATTAGGGTTAGGGATTAGCATTAGAGATTAAGGATTAGGGTTAGGGATTAATATCAATCAAAATAAATTATATTGGTCACGTGGTGTACAGGTGGTTAAGGTAAGAATAGCCTAGGGTCCAAAGTCCAAAAGTACTCCGCAAATTCTGGGAGTAGAACCGCCATTTATACCCTACTCCTGGTCACAAGGGAATTAAAGGCAATGAAAAAGCCAATGCCCTTGCAAGGAAAGGAATGGAATTTCTTATTGTAGGTCCGGAACCTGCAATAGAAATTTCCGAAAAGCATCAGCGGAAAGAAGTCCTTGATTGGACCTGCAAAAAAAAAAAGTAAAGAATATAGGGACTTAGACAAGCGAAATAATTTATCAAAAGCCGCTCTCCCTCCAAAATAAAGTGGCTGCTGGGCCTAACTAGGAAAGAAATCCGACTCATCATCGGAGTACTAACAGGCCACTGCAGACTTAAAAGACATTTAAAGATCTGTGGGATAGTGGATGATGAACTCTGCAATCTCTGCAGAAGTGCACCTGAAACTGCCCTTCACTTCATAACAGAATGTGACCGATTTGCGTCCCTCAGATACAGACTTCTGGGAGCAGACAGAATCCAAGTATGCAAAGCTTCCTCCATAAAATGGCCCAACCTTTTGAACTTCATTAGAAGAACAAAAAGGTTTGAGACAGAGTAGAGGTACAATAGACAACCACTGGTAGTATCATTTTGGGGGTTGGCAAAAAGGACCAATAGGCCGACTTGCTGGACTAAGTCCCCCCATCAGTACCAGTACCAGTATATATTGGGGGTGAAGGTCACGCCAAACGGCCCAATATTTTTGTAGGTCACATTTTTTTTTTTTATTTTATGACCAAATTATGTTATGATTCAAGTGTAAAGCAGATGGGTGTTTTAGTTTAAAACTTTTGTAGGTTACGATAAAATTTTATTAATAATTAAAAGAACCCATTCATGAAGTTTTATATGAGGGTTAATAATTTGATAAAAAAGGGTCTGTACCGCGAACTATTCTTTCAGTCGATGAATGGGAGTCACTAGCAGGGAAGCGATTTCAACGAGATTGTGAATTTTCGGAATGGAAATTTCATACCAAGAGACAAGTAGAAAAAATGTAACTGACGTAATTGGAATTGTATATGATCTACGATGTTTTATAGCTTGCAATGCCTTTAAGAAGAGGACAGCAATAAAATATCCCGGGAGGAGAGAGGGAGGAGGTTCCTGCATCATGGTCGTTAGCACTAGAAAGCAGATCCAGGATTTAATTTTGGAGGGCTTCAGCCCGAAAGCTTTTTTTCATAAAAATGACGATAATTACTTTGGGAAACAAGAAAGAAACTAACTATCTATATGAAATGGTGTTTAAGTGATTTCTTAAGTCCTTTTAAATGTAATTACACGAACAATAATACTTTAAGATATAATTTTTAAATATTTTTTTTCTATAACACATGGTTATATTTTACCATTTTGGGGGGGGGGGGCTTCAGCCCGAAACCTCCCCCCCCCCGTAAATCCGCCCGTGGTCGTTAGGGGGTATGGGCACCCCTGTGACAGGTGCTAATTTTATGCTGAAGATTGTGACAAAGCATCCTCAAAACGACCAAATAAAAGAAATAATATAAATTACTATTTTATGATATTATAGATCTATGGGCAAGGAGTGAGGAAGAAATAGGATTTATTATTGTTTTTATTAAAAGATTTAGTTGATTTATTTACGAGTTACATTAAATGTATTCCAATGGGCAATGGAAACGACTTTCTCACAGAGCTTTCTCTGTGAACATGTCTCACGAGCTATTAAAAATATATTTAAATGGAATAGTGACTGAAAGAAGGAGATTTCTTCATTATAAATATATAAATCCATTTAATTTATATTTATAAGTACAAACATTAGTAAATTCATACAAAGAAGGCAGTGGATCAGCTGATGAGAAGGTTGTCTCCTCAACTCCTCTCTCAGTTTTTACCAATTTTATAGCGGAATCTCTCTGATTATTCACGTGATACAGTTAAAGTGTATATCAGAGCAGTTGATATTTACTGTTGACATCTTTTTTTTTTTGTTATTTTAAGAAAAAAAATATATACATATTTTTTTTTTTATTTATTTATTTTTTTTTCTCTTATGATATGCGGTATGATCAGCAAGTGATGGCCAGTAAGGTGCCCAAGAGGTCTCGGTCAGACGGAGTTAGCTCACCAGCCAAACAAAGGACTCGTCGCTGCCTACGAGAAATACCTCCAGTGACCAAAATGAACACTTCAGAACCAGAACCTCAGCCCCAACCAGGTACGTCTGCACAAGAAACGATTGAAGAATCACCTTTCTTTACTCCAAACCCCTACCAAGTGCTTCAAAATGACAGAGAAGTAATGGAGTCTGCAGCAATACCCAGAGAACCAAAGCCTCCTCCGATATTTGTGAAAAATATAAAAAATTTCCAGATATTCTGCACCCAACTAAATAAAATCTGCTCTGGCAGTTATTCATGCCTTAACAGGACCAATGACACCAAAATAACACCTGATTCTGCAGAAGCCTACCGAAAAATAGTGAAGTACTTATCAGAAACAAATGCGAATTTTCACACTTACCAGCTGAGGCAGGAAAGAGCTTTACGAGTAGTGATAAGAAATTTACATTCCTCAACCCCCACTGAAGTTATTAAAGAAGAACTAACGACGCTTGGTTTCAATGTACGCCAGGTAACAAACGTTTTGAAGGAGGACAGGGAGCAGCCAGGATTACGAAATAGGATCCCACTACCATTGTTTTTCGTGGACTTGGAGCCATCACCAGGTATCGAAAAAATATATGATATCACAAGAATATACTACACAATGGTGAAAGTTGAGAAGCCATATCCCAAGAGAGACATCGTGCAGTGCCATAATTGTCAGACCTATGGCCACACGAAGACATATTGCCACCATCTGCCGCGTTGCGTGAAGTGCGGTGAACAGCACAAATCTGTAGAGTGCACCAAACCTATACAAGATCCAGCAGTATGTGCCCTATGCTTGGAGGGACACCCGGCCAACTACAAAGGCTGCCAAATTTACAAGAATCTCAAAACCAGACACCAGAAACACCGGATTCAAGATGAAGCACTAAGAACAAGAAGAGAGAGAGAGCCTTCCAGAATTGTAAACAATGATGTATCATTCTCCCAACTACTTAGAGGTAAGACTTTAACCGATAAATGTCAAGCCCTGCCACAACAACAACCTCAAACCCAACCTCAAAATTCTCTTCATCCTAATATACCTAACCACCAACAACAAATTCCTCATATTCCTCCTCCTTCAAATGCAACAGATCTCACAAGTTTGTTAGCATCTTTCCTCACCGATTTCAAATCCCTTGTTACTCCACTCATATCACTCCTCACGAATCTCGTATCTCACCTCATCCCTCCTTTGAAAAATCCTTAAATGACTCACATCCCTAAACTCATATCCATTCTCCTTTGGAATGCGAATGGTGTTAGAAATCATACAGACGAACTATCTACTTTACTACTTGACAAGAACATTGATGTGGCACTAATTACTGAAACTCGACTAACCACTAAACAGCACTTCAATATACCACAATACCTGTCATATCGTACTGACCACCCTGACGGAAAAGCACATGCCGGTACTGCTGTAATTGTACACCAATCCCTCTCCCATCACGTACTCCCATTACCAATACATGATTTCCTACAGTCCACCGCTATCGTGATAAAAACCTTCTCCTTTCCGGTTACTCTTGCATCAGCGTACTGCCCTCCTAACCGATCCATATCCAATGCCCAATTCAGTTCTCTCCTCGACTCCTTAGGACATCACTTCATCTTGGGTGCAGACCTAAATGCCAAGCACCAACAATGGGGTTCCAGAACCACGAATTCTCGTGGCCGAACCCTGCTGTCTGCACTCAATTCCCAACGTTTTCACCTCCTTTCCCCCAACTCTCCTACCTACTGGCCCACAGATCCCAACCGTAATCCTGATCTTCTTGATTTCTTTATCCACAGCGGCTTAAGTCCCCTCAATTGTTCCATTACACGTCTAAATGAACTTTCCTCTGACCATAGTCCTCTAATCCTTAATGTTTCACTTGAACCTGTTCCCAAACCTTCTCCACCGTCATTCATTAAGGGCCCAGTAAACTGGGACCTTTTCCGCCAAATAATCTCCGATAATATTGATCTCAACATATCCCTCAAAACTCCCGATGACCTTGATAGTGCCGTAAATTCCTTTACTACCACAATCCAACAAGCCGCCTGGACTGCCTCCTTCCCAAAAGACTCCTCCAGAATTCCTATAAAGACCATTCTACCCCAACACATCCTTAACCTAATCCGCACCAAACGCCGTGCCAGATTATTATGGCAACGTACCCGACATCCTACCGACCGCTGCTCCTATAATTACTACTGCAAACAATTAAAACTGGAATTAGCCACCTTCAGATCACAATCCTTCAACTCCTACCTATCCTCCCTCTCTTCTCGCGACAATTCCCTTTGGAAAACCACAACAAAAATCCTAAATCCTCACCGCATTTCCCATCCTCTCCGACGAGGTGATGGCTCCTGGGCAGCATCTGACGAAGATAAAGCTGAGGAGTTCGCCATTCACCTATCCAATACATTTATTTCACATCCGGAATCCCATCCTGCCCACACCGTAACAGTAGAAGAACTCCTTACATCACCAATCCCACTTTCTTTGCCCCCAAAAGCTATTCATCCTTCCGAAGTAAAATTTCAATTAAAAAAACTAATCCTCCGTAAAGCTCCTGGACATGATCTCCTTACACCTCAAATCCTTCGACAACTTCCATCCAAAGCAGTCATATTCCTTACATATATCTACAATTGTATCCTACGCACCACCCACTTCCCTCTGTTATGGAAACACTCCACTATTATCCTTTTCCCAAAACCAGGAAAACATCTCAATAGCTCAACATCCTATAGACCAATCAGCCTACTCCCAATCCTTTCAAAAATTTTTGAAAAGATCCTTTTGAAACGAATCCTACCCATTATAGAATCCCAAAATATCCCTTCCCATCAGTTTGGTTTTCGCTCTCAACATTCTACTGTTCAACAAGGACTCCGAGTTGTTGATCATATTTCCTCAGCCCTAGAAAACAAGGAATACTGTTCGGGTGCCTTTCTGGACATTGCACAGGCATTTGACCGGGTATGGCACTCCGGACTGCTCTCCAAGCTTAAAATCCATTTACCTCAGTCCTTGTACCTAGTCCTCCGATCCTACCTCTCTGACCGCTCCTTTCGAGTTCGCTGTGGAGCAGAATTTTCCAATATCTACTCCGTTAAAGCCGGTGTTCCCCAAGGCAGCGTCTTGGGTCCCGTGCTTTACATCCTCTTTACTGCTGACATCCCTGTTCATCCCGATACTTTTCTTGCAACATTCGCTGACGACACCGCAATCTTATCATCCAACTCTGATCCCGAAATAGCATCCTTAAATCTCCAAAGTCACCTCACCTTGATTGAGCACTGGTGTAATAACTGGCGCATTAAAGTTAATGAATCTAAATGCCAACATATTACCTTTACACTCCGACGCAATTCCTGTCCACCAGTACTCTTTAATTCCATCCAGCTTCCTTATTCAGACACAGTCCGGTATCTTGGCTTTCATTTAGACCGAAGACTAACTTGGAACCCGCATACTAGACTCAAAAGACAAGAACTCAACCGACGATACGGCCAACTATACCGACTACTAAGCAGAAAATCTAAACTTTCCATTGAAAACAAGCTACTGATCTACAAGACAATACTGAGACCTATTTGGACTTACGGACTAGAACTGTGGGGATCAGCAAAATTTTCTAACATCAAGCGCATCCAATCCTTCCAGTCTAAAGTCCTTCGAACAATAGTCGATGCTCCTTTCTATGTATCCAACAAAACCCTACATCATGACCTTAACATCCCATTTGTCCTAGACCTTATCCCAGAAAAATTCTCCAAATTTCACCAGAACCTTACTTACCACCCAAATCCTCTTGCACAATCCCTATCAAGCATCTCCCATCCCTATAATCCTCCAAGAAGGTTGAAACGGCAGTGGCCTCGCGACCTTTTGTAGATTATATAAATTGGAGTTCTGTCAATGGACTGATTCTTCACTCAAGACATGTGTGTATGTGGCTAAAGTGCTCTCGACCAATCTCCGCTGGCTTTAGTACCAGTGACGCGGTGGGGAGAGTAGCGCAGGGTTCTCCTGGAGTTCCCTCGCCTGATTGTATATAGGTATGCATGTGTTTTTTTTTTTTTTTTCCTTAGTTTTAATTTTCTTATTTTTTAGGTTATTTTATTTTATTGTCTATTGTATATACTTTTGATTATTATTTTGTTCTATTTATTTTATTTTTTTGTACATATGGTGTGAATGTCATCCTACCTCACTATAACCAATGTCCAACAGACAGATTGTTATAATACTCAATAAAGAAATTTAAAAAAAAAAAAAAAAATTAAATTCATACAACTCTAAAATTATATCCGAACATTACTACTCAGTTATTCCTACAAGTTTTCTAAACAATAGCCTCTAGTTTATCAAGTCACAGCAACTAACTGCTTGATTTGATTTTTGACATAAATTATCAGTGCAAAAAGTTAGAGATTAAAGCCCCTGGTGAATCCACGGGGGGGGAGGGGGGAGGGGAGGCTTCGGACTGAACCCTTTTTTGAATTCAGGCACATACTTCAGGGGGACGACGACCCTTTCTCTCCAATAAACATGTAGAGGGGGCCAGAATATCGTTTCGTCCCTCCCAATAATTTGAGATTAAAAAAAATTTAAATCAATAATGAATATCCTATATCAATGAATAAAATATGTTAACTAAAATCAATTAAGAAAAATCGACTAGCTGGCTAGCTTAGGGTCTAGTAGAAGGTACGGAACTATTTTATCGATACCTAAATATTACTTCTACTTAAATTGTCATTTATATTTAAAGATAATTATATATATCACAGTATCCTAGGATTTTATGGTTCATTCACTCCTTAATTTTCACGTGATATTCTTATCACATTTTTCGTGGAAACTTGGAGAAATGTGAACGTTTTGTTTTTTATTAGTAATTGTATACACTAAGAAACCGACAATATCTTACACTTTCTTAGATTAGTCATTTTTAGCTGAAAAAGTTTTAGATAAACTACCAATATATTTAGGCTGTTCCCCCTCCTTCCTCTGTTAAATCTAAAAAATATATTATATACTCTATTGTTTTTTAAAGATATTTTCAAGTATATGTAATAAGTAAAAACAAAACAAAAAGTCCTTACAGCTGTACGAACATTTAAATAAAGTAATTTTAAATATTCAATATTATATTTGTTCGTTTCTCAATAATTATGTTTGAATTTTTAATTGAATTAAAAAGTCCCGCCAATTTGTTTGGTCTATCGCCCCTACAAAATCGAAAGTATGCGCCTTTGAATCCCCCCCCCCCAAAATTGAAAAACCATTAGTCTATATTTGTTTCTCTATATGATCTGAGCTAAATTCATAAAAAATCAAAAAAAAAAAAAAAAAAAAAAAAAAAAAACCTGTACCACTTCAACCCATAAAGGGTTTAGTGGGGGGGGGGGGGGTTCAGTACTATTTAGGGAAAGCACTGTTTCTAGGTCAACGGTTGTGCAAGGAGGTGATTTGACCGAGATCACGCTCAACCGCCAGGTTTTCCCCCTTAATTAATTATTTAATTAAGGGTACCCACTTTATAGAGGCTGGGTTTGCCCCAGGAGGGTCTTCCGACCCAGGGTCACCCCACAGCCAATGAAACAGATAAATAAATTTTCTGCCATGAGCCGGGGTTCGAACCTGGGACCTTTGCATTGGAAGCTCAGTGGCCTACCACTGAGCTACCCCCCTCCCATTAAAAAAAAAATCAAAATAATAGCTAATTAATGTAAGCACGTGTCAAGAAAAAAATATAAAATTTTATACCTGAATCCAGTATTTTTCCGGTAAACACTTATTTTTTGACAAGCTTTTAAGGACCATTTAAAGATTATTTCATATAATTTCTTTTTTTTCTTCTATCTGAGTAATTACCATTACAGAGAAAAACTGATTATAGCACATCTCACATCACAAAGTGAAACATTAATGAAGAATTATTGCTTATTATTCTTGAAAACACATTTCGATATAAAATAAATTTAATGGGTGATAAATATTCAGGACTTAGTCATTATAAATTTTTTATTGGTGCCGACATTCCAACCCAAACATGTGAGCCATCATCAGGGCCTGTTACGAGCACTGAAGGTATTCAAGTACTGACACTTAGGTAGGTAAGTAAAAGGGTCGGTGTAGGATTTTCTAGATTTGGGCTCCAAAAAAACTTTATAATGACTAAGTTCTGAATATTTATCACCCATAATATGTAGAACAGTAGTCTAACTTCCTTCAATAAAATAAATTTAAATTTACTTGTTCTAATTTAAAAAAAGTTTTATTCAAAAGTCTGTGATTGTTTTTTTAATTTTATTTATTTATTTAGAAATATATTAATCTGTCACGTGGACAATACTTATAGTGACATATGAATGAACACATTCACACCAGGACACATTAACATCAATTTAAAGTTACAACTGAAGTGGTGGAGCATATTTATATGTACTCAAAATAATTAAGCAAAAATATAGATTTCCATTAATTTTTAATTTAAAACCTGATTAGTTTTTCGGAGATAGCGTTCCTTCTAAAACAAAAATTTACTAGAAGAATATACCATTATACAAGTAATCCTACGTTGGATAAGCCAGTCTTCGTCACTTTGGTACACATAGTCCTTCTTTATCTAACCAAATTGGGGTCAAGGTTCTATTCAAAAAGATTCTAGCTCGGACTGGTCCAAACCAGCCAGAGAGCACATTTATTTGAGGTGACTATATCTTTGAAATCTTCATATTGTATATTAATAATTATGACAAAAACGATACCAACAAGAGCAAAGTGAATTATGCCTGACTATTGCCCCAAAATGAATTACGGTACTTTTCTTAAATGATATAAGGAAACGTAAAAGGGGGAAAAAAAAAACTGAGCACAGTAGAAAGTATCTTTATTTGCAAATAAATTTATCACCTTCTCATCTAGTCCGTTTTTTGGGTTATAATACCGGTGAAAACTGAAGGTGTAAATTAGATAACTTGATCCCTGATTAAAAAAAAATGATAAAGCAGCAAAGCAATGTATATATATACCTATATATACCTAGTCCTGTCATAAATATTGTTACAAGAAAATATATACAGATTTGAACAGAAAAATTAATTTTTTCAAAAACTTTCTTAGAAAATAAAATGTATATCTATAGAGAGTGAAACAAAAAAGAAATTACTCAAAATGTCCCGCTTTAGCCTTGACACAGGAATTTAATCTCCGTGGCCAGTCATCGATAGCAGCACGCAGCACTTCTTGAGGAAAGCGCTCAACTGCTAGTACCAGAGATTGTTTGAAGCTTTCCAAGCTAGGGTGGATTCTGTGGCATGCTGTGTGTGGGTTGAGATCAGGGCTTCCTGAGGGACCATCCGAGGCAGAGATGAACTCTGGAATGTTGTTTTGCAGCCACTGCTCAGTTGACCTGGCCTTGTGAGTTAGAGCAGAATCCTGCTGGAAAACTCAAACTCAAACTCAACAAAGTATCATTTTGAGGCTTGAAAACAGGTTCCAAAATATCGTTCTGATAGTTTTTAACTCCTTTTTCACAAATATGTAGCTTTGTGGTGCCATAAAAGCAAACTCCACATCAAACCATCACAATTTCCATTCAACCAATAATGCCTTCCATTTACCCATATATCGGATTCAGCGAAATGCTAATTTATTTGTACCCTACATAGATTTTTTTGACAATTCGTGGCCTTGGTTTAAGGCCTAACTAACAAATTTGTGCAAATTGAATATACTGAGTGAGAAGTGTCTCACGCACGCTATTCAACTCTACTTGAGGATGGCCATAGATAGTCAATATTGTCTAAATATCGATATTTTCCCCTCTACGTTATATATGAAACAGGCAAGATGAGCATATATTTTTTATAACGATCAGATTCATATATAATTCCTAGCGTTTTCCGAAAACGATGGTTTTAAATTAAAATATCGAAGGGACGATATCGACAGTACATAATATCGAAGTATGGATTGCTAAATATCAAATATCAGAAGGAAAATATCGACATTACGATAATATCGACTATCGATAACCATACCTAATCCAGCCCAGATTGTGGTGGATTACTGGGCTTCAAAATTCTTATGGTATGCGGTAGAGGACTTGATGGCCGAGAAGGTTAGAGCGAGGGTTTCAGAATTCCGTGTTGTAAGCATTATGGGTTCGATACCCACCTGAGTAGGTTAGTATTAATTTCTCGAAGGCCCCAGGCAATGAAGCAGGCTTCTATATTTTAACGGAGAGGAATCTCCCTTATCCAATGACGAGAGTTATCCCTTAAAGACCTTTATGTAAGGCTGGAAGATAGTTCTTGATCCAATCCTCTTATTTGATGCTTAGATGTGACAGATTAGGACAAAAGAGGACGATATCTCAATTTTAGAGCAAAGAAAAGTAAGGTTTATGCACAGCTATGGATATGAGAGTAAATAGTTTTGCTTACAGAAGTGGATTGTTATGCAGGTATGCACTGACAGACTTTTTGATTTTCAAAAACGGTTTGAGATATATTTAAAAAAATTAAAATATAAATCTTGATGCAAGGTGACAATGATCCTAGTGGTGACGCCTTTATAATATTTAAAAAAAAATGCAGGTATTCTTATTGACTAAAAGGCAGGGTTGGATTGTAAATAGAACAAATAACACCCATCCCGTCAAATTTTCTCTAATTGAGCTCCTAGGTTTTGAAAGCTAATGGACAAGGTTATAATTGGAAAAATTCCAACAACATGGCCTTGTCTCCAAAATGTAGTAATGAATAAAAAAAAAAAGTCAAAGTATGCGGTTGTATATCATGGAGTTATGTAATCTTCGTTATTTTTTTTTTCTGTCCTGATGATGTCTGAATTGGCGAAACGTTATTTTATTCATTACCTACGTACCAGGAATTTCCCCGATTATAACTTAATTGTGGATTAATGGTTTACTGTAGTGAATAATTGAAGAGGATATTGGTGGGGGTGATCAGTAAAAAAAAAAGGAAAATACATGTTATATTTATTTTTGCCTAAAATAAATATAACCTTCTTTATTGTTACATTTTTTTTTTTACTGATCTTTCCATCCAATCTTCTCTTCAATTATAACTTAATATTGAATTTCTGTCTCTTGTTGAGTTTTTTACTCGTTTCCAATATTTTTTTATTGAATAATAATACAATCAGCCACTTTTGGAGGGCTATAAGTATTAAGGCCAAAAGTCCTCATTCATAAAATATATACAAATAATATAGAAATAACTATAAATATTAAAAATGTAAATAAATAATACTGGTAAATAAATAAGAAAAAAAAGAATAAAATAAAATAAAAACTTCTAAACAAATATACAATATATACATTCGCCCAGAAATCTGCGAGCCAGGCTTTTCCCTCAACTTGGGGACTCCAGGAGATCCCAGTGCCACTTTTCCAGCCGCTTCACTAGGATTAGAAGCCAGTGTTTCCACTTATAGGTTAATAACTTTAAACAAGGTAGTCAATAATAATATATAGTACTTATTATTTAAATCGCCTATGTTTAATAATACCATTTTAACGTAGTTAATAATATTATATATCAATTTATGATGAACAACCTTATTAGGATTATTCCTATGTTTAGTGAGATTTATTATTTATTTATGATTATTATTTATTATATAATTATAGTATTTAATCTATAATAGATTATGTTCTTAATAAGACTCTTATTTCTTCTCACAATCCTTTATTTGTATTTAATACATTATTATATACCTATATTTTTTTCTTTTTTACATAACGTTTCGGGCCTTTTGGACATTTTCAAATTTATTAATTGCACAATTTTTACACCACCTGTCCACATTTGTATAATTTTTACTCGTCAAATTAATCCAAAAAAAAAAATAAGATTTTTCTTTTTGTCATGCGAATAAAGGATTGTGAGAAGAAATAAGAGTCTTATTAAGAGCATAATCAATTATGGATTAAATATAATAATTATATATCAAATTTTGGAAATTTTAGTAGATCAGTAGGCTGATTCTTATTTGAAATTATTTATTCAGAACACCTAAATTCAGTAAGTTATTATATTATCATCCCTCTACTAGCCGTCCCTCCTCCAATTTTGTGATAAGTTGGATTCTCAGGGACATCGATATTATGTTTCATATTTACAATACTGTAAAACCGATCGAAATGTTTATATGTTAGCTAATATCACTATTATAAACAATGATAATATGCAATCAATATTGTATTAATATCATACATGCAACCACAGAACATTAATCGACTAGTCGGCTAACTATCGACTTCGTCCAATTTTCCGGTTTAATTTAAGTGAATGGGTTAACTTAACTCACAAACTAACTAAGGGTTAACTAAACTTGGTTGTGGTTTTGTTAATTGTTCTGTCTTATAACATTGATGCAATTTATAAAATTTATTTTATAAGATATTTACAGAGAGGTTTCCCATTGTAATAATTATAGATATAAATAATATAAACTTTATTATCACCTTGTTATCAAATGGTGCTAATAGACCACTGCCTGTTGCTGAATCATCAGGCCTCTTCATGAGCACATAATAATGCGCTTGCCACAATTGTGTACCCCAAGTTACATAATTATGGGTTCCGGGCAAGATGGGTAAAAAAGCTGCTATCATATCAACTTCCTGTAAAAATACAGAGGCATTAGCAATATGTTTAAAATCCAAATAACAGATCCGTATTTGTTATGGGTATCTGGGTACGAAAGCAGTGAAGGGTCTTGGATATAAATAATGATGATAAAACCGTTATTTTATATTAGAATCAGGGAAGTAAACCATTATAACCATATCCGTTTTGCTGAAGATTTGGTGATGATGCTGAAAACATCGAACTTCAGTATCTATAATAACGATTTATTTGAATCTATCCACTCTATACAGGACGATTCATATTCAGGTGACCTTCACATTTACCTATCCTGCCGTCATACTCCAGGCGACGAGAAAGCTGTAAATTTGATGTAAAATGGATGAAATTAAAAGCATTGACTCATGGGCACGAGACAGTAAATTGTAGCTAAACGTGGAAAAACCCAATACATCCTCCTCGATTTCATTAATTTTTTTTATTCTTATCTTCTCCTTCTTCCTACCATAATGTATCACAACAACCCTCACATTCACTAACGGATCCAGGATTTAATTTTGGGAGGCCTTCAGCCCGAAAGATTTTTATTTGTATAAATATATTAGGATAATTACGTTGGAAGAAAGAAAGAAACTAACTATATAAAATGGTCTTTAAGTGATTCTTTAAGTTCTATTAACTGTAATTAGACGAACAATAATTCTTTTAGAGATAATTTTTTCATAAAATATGTTTTTATTTCACCAATTTTTTTTTTTGGGAGGGGGGGAGACTTCAGTCCGATAACCCCTCCCCGTACATCCACCCGCGCACACATTCATTTCTTAACCGCTGCTAATCATGTTTAATCAACACATTTGTTTTAAGGTTTCGTAATAAATATTTGTTTATGATTTTTGATTGTACACAAAAAATCATAATCAATAATATGAGTTCAGATAATGATAATTATTTCGAAATTTGAAGCGAAAGAAATGGCGGCAAAATGATGCTTCAAAAATCCCAATCCCTTGGACGAAAGTAATGTATTTTTTTGTTAGGTTTCTTGGGGGTCTCATGTCTCTTGTTGGTATAATGAGTCGATATGCTGTATCCTGTTTCTAACGATAATGCTCCCCATGCCTTTCTTTTCCAGACCCTTATACGGAAAAGCCTCCCTATATTCTACATATAACGTGCTCACCTCACGTTTCTCGATCCACTTTTTATACACAAAATTCCAACCTACCAGCTTGCACATCCACTCCTATAGATTCGTTATGCAAATCATTCATCATACCTTATTTTTAAATTTCTCATTAGTATAAAATCCTCTTGTACATCGTTTTTTAAATACATCCTATTTTCTTCATCTACTTCATTGTGAGTCTATCACTCCCGTTTCACCAATATTCATTGTTTATAACAATTGACTATATAAGCGATAAAAACATTTTTTAAATGTGTATAGCAAGAAAAATGTTTATACGTAGTCTTGTACGTTTACAAGAATAAAAGTTACTTTAATTTATCCATCATGAATCATTGCCTTCTTGACCAGCTTTATTTTTTTATCAATATTGATGACCTCCAAGGGGGAGGTTTATGTGCGATGCTTTGAGGACCCATGTCATCATAAGTATATATATATAAATATATATATATATATATTTTTTTTAAACTTTATTCTGGTACTAAGTCCCTTTAGAATAACAATATTGTACAAAAGAATAGAATATTACTGGCCTAAAAGTTTGGAACAATAAATAAAATTGATAAAATAAAATAAAAAGTAAAGAAAACCTTAAGTGCACAAGCTATATATAATACAGATAAAACTATGTACAGAGAATTTAAAACTATGAACAAAACAATTAAAACTATGAACGAATCACTTGAACTATGAACAAAACTATATATAAGGGTTGAACAACATAAACATACACTTTGAGAAATGAAGAACGAAAAAGAGATAGAATGAGTTCATTTCATAAAAAAAAACTTTACTTGAATGTATGTATATATATAAACAGTTAATTATAATTGAATAAAAAAAAAATGTATGTATTGAAATTCCTACGTCGATAGTAGGAAATGCTAGTACTATATCTTACCAAGTATTATGATTATATGATTGCTACATAATACATATATAGTATTAATAGTTAGCTGGTATCTGACTGTTTTTGGAACAGGAATTGGAATAGGAGGTTTTTGAATGTGTATGGGGACGGAGCATGTCGAATTTTGATCGGGAGGGAATTCCAAAAGTTGACAGAGCGGGCTATAAAGGAGTTTTGGAATGAGGCAGATCTATGAGAAGGGATGTATAGGTCAGAGGGTCGAGATCTTGTAGTGAGGGAATGGATTGTGGACTTAAATTGGAGAAGGTTGTAGGCTTAAGAAGAACGATGATCGGTAATGATTTGATAAAGAAAACTGCCTAGAAAATATTGTCTTCTTAAGGAAGGAAAGAGCCACCCTAACTCATTGTAGTGGTGGGAGACACGGGAGCGTCTCGGGGTCCCAATTACAAATCTAACGAAGCATTTAGTTGGAATAAAATCTAATTTTCCTTACCTTTGCGACTAGCTTTCCCAAGAGCCCTGAAGATTCGTCTCCCATCACTCTTGATTCCTTTTGGAGCTCGTATTCAAAACCAAATTTCTCTTGAAGTGTTTCCAGCACCTCGAAGACAAGTCCATTTCCTTCAAGGGCACCGCTAGCATTAGCTGTGGTGCCTGAAAATGGTCGATCATCCTAAAAAAATAAGGTAAAGAGTTTCGGATTCTTTGACCACACCATACGTCATAGAATAGAAAAAAAGTCTGACTTACATATGTGACAATTTTTAAGGTTTTTCCTTTCAAATTTCCTTTTTCTAGTTTTCCTTTTCGCAGCTTACAAGAAAATTCAGTTTCTTTAAGAAAACAAAACATGTAAGAGTATTAATTATTTCATAAATTATTATTGTTTATTTTAATATAAATTAATAACAAACTAACCAAGAGACAGAATATAAATGTTAGGTTATAATTAGAAAAAATCCAAACCACACTTAATTCCAATTGAAATCCACAAATTCTACCAGCCTTATGTCTCCAAAATGCAGGCAAAGAAAAAAAACCCGTCAACGTTTCGTCAATTCCGCCATCATTGCTTTATCAGTATGTTATTGGATGCCAATTATGTTCGATTTGCTGTTCTTTTCTGTCTTGATTATGCCTGAATTGGCGAAACTATGACGGTTTGTTTTGTTTCTTTGTCTGTATTTTGGAAACATAAGGCTGTATGGTTTTGGAATTTTTCCAATCATAATCTAAAAATTATTTTATTTTTTTAATTTTTAAAACTAACTGCACCCCTTTTAAAAATGAATGTACCCTCTTCTGTTTGAGCGGACTATAGCCCTGGTCACTTGTACTTCACAACTTATATTTCTCCTATTGACGAAAACTGCTACATCTATATTTTTTATGGAAGTATGAAGAAAGTTTTGAGAATTATTTAATAAAATTAAGAACGAAATAAATATTTATTTAATCCCCACATATATTATTACAGTAAGGCTCCAAATCGGTTTTGTACCAATATAAGCTCCTGTCATTCTCAAATACCATGAATGGGCTACCGTTGGATTCAGAATTTCACGGGGGGTTAGCGAATCGTATTCTCCACTTTTGTTTTTCTTTCTAAAATAAATAAAGTCGATACAAACATTTTGCTAGGCTTCAATACTGGAACGGTGGTAGGTCTGTAGATCGATGCGGGACAAATTGGATCTTGAAGATTTTGATGCGTACATCAAGGCCCGATGGTTCCGGAGGAACCATCGGATCCTGCGCTTTTAAGTCCCAAAACGTACTATTTTCGAGATAACGGAAGGCATAGGGTTCGCATCCACACATCCTTACATTAATTGTAGTATTGTCATTGAATACATGTCTCATTTCGTCGACTTGAGGTCTCTATGACCGAGAGAGGAGGAGTTTATATTATTTATCGATGGTGTTTTTGATCGGCAAGCCATATCATCGTTAATTTTTCACCAAATCTCAAGATTAAGCCACCAATTTTGAAGGCTTCCTTCTCCTTCAGGCGGGCAAAATAGTCCAATCACCCCGAAAATTCAGGCAAACAAGTTATGAAAGAAAACAAACTTTATTTGCGAATAACTAAAAAATTGCACACTTTTCTCTCGGTTATGCCGATAGTTATATAAAAGATTATTTAATTCCCTACAGAAGGAAAAGCAAATTATCGAGATCGGACAATGTTTAGCAATGATACAGCTTACTGAAATCTGTAAACATGTTGGTTCCAAACAAAAATGAAGATTTAAATTAATTTATGTTTTCTTTGTCGATTATATTTATCGATAAAGTAAAATTTGATTTCTTTATCTTATGATACGTTGCATTATTTTATTTTCTTATTTTATTTGACATTTGATAACAATATGCTGTGCGAATATTTCGCACGGGCCTACTAGTAGTTAATAATTGACGACTCGGTTGTTTTTCTTCAATATCCCTGAAAACTGGACGTCTTAGCTGAGTTCTGAAACTGGGTGCTAAGGCATGTTGTACTTCAAAAAGAACCGGACACCAGGAGCTATCTACCTGCGTAACTTTTCAAGTATGGAGGCGAGGAATAGGCTAAATACCTGCAGAACATTACCATGGGTATATCAGACGAGATTCATAAAGCACCATGGACCAGATATCCCTGATTAAAATCACGAGAGAGAACTAGGGAGAACAATATAGATAAGCATCATCTCTTCACAGATTTTCAAAGAGCCCATGATAGCATTATTAGAGTGAGCTCTATAAGGATGTACTTGAGATTGGAATCCCACCAAAAGTGGTTCATCTTGTCCAAAACTAGAACCGAAACCGTTTTCAACCGATCTGCCCAAATCTTGGTATTTGCTGAAGACATGGAAATTATTGTCAGAAATTACACATCCATAAGGGACAACTTTGTCATATATATTTACAAAATATATGTATATATTTTCAAATTTGAATATAGTTAAGAATCATGTTCTAGCAGAAAATCTTATTGTATCTGTCGATAATCGACTTTGAGGTCGAAAAAAATTCATTATGGGCCACATCTAGCCTATAAGAAGCTTATAATCGGCCGATTGTTGGTTTGAGGGTTCCGTCTCCTCCAATCGTAATGGGTTGTAGCTGTGGAATGTTGTTTTTTTTTTTAGAAAAAAAAATCAACAAAATTTTTCGAGGAATTACACGTATATACCCTTACCAAATTTCATCCATTTATTTATATAAAATTAACGACATTTCGACCATCTTGACTTAATTCCTATTTACCTATAATGGATATATTTATCTCGAGATAAACATTCAATTATCATTATTATCATAATAATTATACATTTTAAACAATAACTATACTATATCATAAATTCTATGGGACATATATCCATAAGTATCACAGTCCTGACTAATCGATAGAGATAGATACTACCATACATAATGAGGCATAAGAGAAATAAAATTGAAAATTTAATATTTAACTAATTGTATAATAATTATTACATCATAAATTATAGATATGACATAAAAAGCATTATATTTAATTCTATATTAATTAAGTTGAGGTTTATTAGCGAAAAAAATGAGATCCACCTCAAGTTTTGAAAAAAATTATGTGATTTCATGTGGGTTATGTTACCTAAAACTATCTTGTTTTTTAATGACTTAGGATTGATTATGATAAACATAATTACCTAATTACAATTTTTATTTATAAAAAAAATGATTTTTCATGTAATGTGATAATGAAACTGTTTTTCATCTAGATCTTTACGTTAAGAACTTATCCGTATTTATAAGTGGCAAACTAAATGTTCCTAATTCTAGTATTCTAGCATTCTATAAAAAAAATTGAAGCAATCAGCAGTTTTCTTTATTTTTAACATAAATTTCACGACTAGAAACATTTGTTTCGTCGTCACGTATAAATATGGATAAATACCTGTAATAAAGATCTTAGTAAAAATACAATTTCATAACCAGTTCACATAAATAATAATAGAAAGATCATTATTTTCAACATTTTTTTTAGAAATAAAAAGTGTATTTAGGATATTATGTAATAATACAAAATACATTCTAAATCAGGAAAAAAAAAATGTAAGCATTTCCAACAATTTATTGTAGTCAATTTAGTTGAAAGCACGGGTACTTTCAGTTGACAGGATATGAAATTGCAACACTTTTTTACATAACCTGAGGTGAATCTCAATTTCTTCCCTAAGAAACCTCAATTTAATTAATGTGGACTTAAACCTTATTAAACGAGGAAATTTTTACTAGAAATGCGATATCTGTAGTAGAGTTTAATGATGATAAAAATAAATCAAATCAGATCCCAAATAATTTAAAAATTTTCGAAAAACTTATCTTAGTTTATCCGCTCAGAAGTCCTCTTTAAATGGTTTTAACAAGGACAAATTTTACTTTCGTTTGGAATAAATTTTGTCTAGTCTACAGTGAAATAATTTTTAAGTGCTTAAATTTTTTTTTTTTTTTTTTTTGGTTTATTGATAAATATTACAATCTGTCTCAATAAAGGACATTTATAATAGAGTTCTGAGAGCACATTCACACCATATTTACAAATTAAAAAAAATAAATAAATAAAAAAAATAAGCTAACTTCAAATAATATAAAGCTACAAAAGAACAAAATAAAATATCATAGTGAGAAAAAAAAAAAAAGTAATGAAAATAAACATCTTAGACGCAGGCATACCTATTACACTATTTACAGTCGGCCATAGGAACTCCGAACCATACTTATCCCCCCACACGTGGAGGGAAAGCAAGGCTTCAGGAGATCCCTGCGCTTCTTCCTCAACCATTTCACTGGCATTGAAAGCCAGCGGAGATTGAGTAAGGGCGCTACAACCACGGACACTCATGACTTGAGTGGAGAATCTGGCCATTGCCAGAACTCCAGTATATACATGTTACAAAAGGTCACGGGGCCACTGCCGTTTCAGCCTGCGAGGAGGATTGTAGGGATGAGTGGTGCTAGATAGGGATTGTGCTACGGGATTAGGGTGATGGGTAAGGTTCTGATGAAATTTGGAGAATTTGTCTGGGATAAGATCAAGAATAAATGGAATATTAAGGTCATTGTGCAGGGTTTTATTAGAGACAGAAAAGGGAGCATCGGCTATTGTACGGAGGACTTTGGACTGGAAGGATTGAATGCGTTTGATGTTAGAAAATTTGGTTGTCCCCCACAGTTCTAGTCCGTAGGTCCACATGGGTTTTAATATTGTCTTGTAGATCAGTAGTTTGTTTTCAATAGAAAGTTTAGATTTTCTATTAAGTAGTCTATATAGCTGGCCATAACGTCGGTTAAGTTCCTGTCTTTTCAGTCTAGTATGCGGATTCCACGTTAGTCGTCTGTCTAGGAGAAAACCAAGGTACCGGACTGTGTCGCAGAAGGGAAGCTGGATGGTATTAAAGTAAACTGGTGGACAGGAATTACGACGAAGGGTGAAGGTTATATGTTTACATTTGGATTCATTGACTTTGATGCGCCATTTCTTGCACCAGTGTTCAATCAAGGATAGGTGCCGTTGCAGGTTTCTGGACGCTGTTTTAGGATCTGAGTTAGAAGATAGGATCGCAGTGTCATCAGCGAAAGTTGCCAGGAGTGTATCGGGATGGACGGGAATGTCAGCGGTATAGATGATGTAAAGGATGGGACCCAAGACGCTGCCTTGAGGAACTCCAGCCTCAATTGAATAACAGTCGGAAAATTCTGTACCACAGCGAACTCGAAAGGAGCGGTCGGAGAGGTAGGATTGGAGTATTAGGTATAAGGACTGTGGTAGATGGGATTTGAGCTTGAAGAGCAGTCCGGCGTGCCACACCCGGTCAAAAGCTTGCGCTATGTCCAGAAATGCACTCGAGCAAAACTGCTTGTTTTCTAGGGCTGAGGATATGTGGTCAACAACTCGGAGTCCTTGTTGGACGGTAGAATGTTGGGAACTGAATCCGAATTGATGGGTAGGGATTTTACGGGAGTCTATTAAGGGTAGGATTCTTTTCAGGAGGATCTTTTCAAAAATTTTTGAAAGAATTGAGAGTAGGCTAATTGGTCTATAGGATGATGTATTATTGGGAGGATAAGTGCTTAAATTAAATATTTTTTTTAGTTATCACTTCCTATTCAACAAAAAACGTGAATTACTTAAAAAAAAAAAAAAAACTTTAATTTCCTACTTTCCTGCTGGAAATCGGGCCATTGTTAATACTAACTTTATTGTAATTCTTGAGGTCTGCTATTACTCCTACAAATATTTTCCCTTTACTTACGGGTAGTGTTGCCCAAATGCGAGACCGAGACAAGTCTTGGTCTTGCAAACTCAGTCTTGGTCATGGTCTTGGTCTTGCTCAAGAGTCTCGCAACAGTCTTGCAGTTACCTATTAGCATATTACTATCGAGATATTACTGTAATTTTTTAGATAGGAGAAATCTAACTAAGCCAGAATGAAAAATTAGATTAGTTAATACAAAAGTATATTGGTTATACTAATTATTAACATATAGTAACTAAGATTGTCAAGTATTAGTAACTATTTTGAATTAATTTGTTTTTTAAAAATCGATTTTTTAAGTGGTCTTGGTCTTGCAACAGTTACGCGGCCTTGCAAGACCAAGACCGATTTTGGGCAACACTACTTACGGGACACCCTGTATATTACATAATGTTATATTTTAAAACAAATACAGGTTCAGTTAGTGGCAACTAGTCCTTATTTCAAGTCGCCGGTCTATTAAAAATAAATAAATACTAAAGGCAATTCAATTTATAAACTCAAATTGTTCCTCAACGTGACGCAGGTGAACGCTGCTGTAATTTTTCAAATATTTTATTGGGAGTCCTGTCTTTATCAAAAAATAGGATATAGACATGTGGTCAGCTGCGTTCGGAAGATGTGAAGTAATAATATTTTTTGGAGAAATTTTTACTGGCTGCAAAGGACGAAAAAAATATTTATTTTTTAAATAGTATAGTGTGTGGCCCAGCTATACCATAAAGGAAATTGTACCAAAGATAAAAAAAAGTGAATGGCAATAGTTTTAATAATATCGATAATATTTCGTTGAAAATCGAACATTATTATTAAATTATTATATTAAAAAGGATCGTTACAAGTTTATTATACAAATATTTCCTATTGTGTATGAAAGATATCTTAGGTAAATATTGCATTTATCAATGGTGAAAATAAAATAACTTTTCCGATACTTTAAATGATTTTTTTTCCCGTTTTTCAACCACGTTACGTGATGTATTTTATTCCAATATAATCTTTAGGGACAAAATTTAAGATTGGTTGTTTCAGAAAGGTAATATATCTTTCTTATATGGAATATACAAAATAAATCTTAAATGGCATGTACAGGAAGTAATTAATGCGCTAAACCTTTACCAGCAAAACATCATTTTTGATGTTAATAATATATTTTTTTTTTTCTCATTTATACGTTACTTCCTTAAAAAGAAAATAAATAAAAATGGATAAACGTATTACTGATCTATAAAAAATATTTCAGTAATAATGTAATTTATTTTATTATTGGGTAATAATTAATCATTTTGGTGTGTATTAACATAATATGGACATATCAACAGCTAGTTTACGTCCATTGTTTATTTATCTATCAATTGTATTTGTGTTTTGAATATATTAGTTAAATGTCAACATTTCTTTTCGAAAAAGAGTGAAAAATATTTGTTGGCAGATGTGAGAAGTGTATTGAAGATAAAGTATGTTAATTTAAAACAGAATAATATCGTTAAAGTTTTCTTTTATTTGTCTCATATCCTAGAAACAATAATTTTGTATGTTCCAACCCAATAATAAAAAGGAACGGTCTACAATGATAATATTCTCGGAATTCTGTTTAACAAATTTATATTAATACAAATAACAGCAATTTAAACAGAAAATATTATTTTCTTAAGTTCCTTATATTTTAAAATAGATCTATAGACATGATTTGTAGTTTTTTAAATATGAATTTGAAGAACAATTTGTACAATAATTTTTTTAGATTTATTTAAGAGTTTCGGTTAATTATATTTGGTAATCCTATTTCAAAAATTTAGCAATTTCCTATAATTTTGTCGCTATTTTCCCTGATTGCTTTTTTCAAAATAGAATATTTTTTATTTCTGGTTTTGATTATTTAGAATTTGAAGAACAATTTATATAGATAAAATTTATAGATCCATTCAAGACATGGTATTTTTTTTAACGTTTAAATCATCATAAATTATTTTACTTATCTAAAAATAGAGTTGCCTATAATTTTTTTTTTTTAATTTTTGGTAATAATTTTATTTTTTGTATATATTTTCTTTTTAGAAAAGTGTTTTCGGCGTTTCGATATATTTTATATACGATAATAGTTCATCTGAACAATAATAAGTATAGATTAAATTTATAGATCTATTCAAGATTTTATGGAAATTATTTTTTTTTTCAAAATTGTGTACATTTTTCTATTGCTTTTACAAATTTCACCGTTTGATTTTCTCATAATGTTTTAAATAATCTTTTATTTTTTTTTCGTTGTGTCCATATATGTAATTGAACTAATCAGATGTAAACTATGATATATATATATATATATATATATATATATATATATATATATATATATATATATAATTTTTTTAATAAAATAGTTTAAGCATGTATATATTTAAGTAGTAATTTTGATTAGTTTAGTTTATCTTTTTTTTTTTAGTTTAGTTTCTTTTAGTTTATATACATTTACTTTTAGTATTATTATTTTGCTTTTTATTTATTGTACATAGTGTGAATGAGCTACTCTTTATCACTATTACTATTGTCCTTAGGTGTGACAGATTGTAATATATCTCAATAAAGAATTTTCCAAAAAAAATAAATAAATAAAATAATTTAATGCGATATTATATATTTGTATCTGGATACAAATCAGTGTATATACATTAAAAATCGTATTGAATTCTTAGTTTTTGTTTTACCGATATTATATGTATTTTTTTTATTTTTTATTTTTTTTGCATAAAAAGCAAATAAAAAATAAACCTTTAGATGGCCCGTGGACCGGTTTGTTTCATATTCTAAATTCCGCCTTGTTGCATAATACATTCGAGGAAAAAAATAAAATAATAAAAATGTGATGCCTGGGATTATTATAAGTGTATAGTGTATGCTTCTGGAAAGATGGCCAGTATTTGGATGGAAGACTCACCACTGGGAGGCGGTGGATAGTTAGAACATAGAGCCAGCAAGAGGTAGTAGAGCCCCTGCATCGCAGGAGACCTTCCCTCTCTGCGATATCCACTCCCCCCACCTCCGCTCTTATAATCGATTTCCATAATTCGATTCCGGCCATAACTCACCGTTTATCTCCTTTTCGATGTTACCTGACATTCCGATCGCTTTGATGTGCGTGTACCGACATTTTGGAGCATTTGACCGAGTACGATTTGAAGTAATAGTTAAAACAATTTTGTATTCTTAGTTTACACAACTGTATTCGCCTATGTAAATAATGAAATGAAATAAACAATCAGGTGTGGTGCGCGCACCATACCACTTACCACCCCACTAACTTACCCGTTTGAAAACAGCAATTTCTTCATTATTTGTAATGGCAGGAGTCCCCAACCCTTTTTTACTTTCACTTCCGTAGATATGTAATATATAGTAAGGGTAAGTATTGCGATCGTGAAAATTTTTGAATCTCAGTTTTCAACAGAAATACACGTTTTGGGATCCCTTGAGTCCAAATAACCAAGTCCCGAAAAATGGTCTGTGTGTATGTTAGCAGTCTAGCTGAAAAACGAAAAGTCTTACGCAACTGATATTACGTATTTAAGATAGGTATATGCCTTACATGTGACAGCAAATTTTTCCTTAAAATCGGCTAACCGGAAGTGCCACTTTATATCAACGCTGAAACACATTTTTACAATTTTCTCAAAAATGGCTCTAACAATTTTGATTAAACACGGTGTGTCATTGTATAATTAAATGGCCTCAGGTCTTATACCCATTGATGTCGCTTTACAGGCCTTAAATGCCCAATGTTCATATATGTCTTCTTCTAAAGTACCTTTAATATGGTTTATTTAAAAAAAATACTGCTACAAAGCTATATATTCCTTCTAATATATTTCCATTAAAAAATCCTTTATAATGCGCGCTACCTTGTTTTTGAATTCTCCAACCACCTGCTTACGCCAAACCTCATCTTTAACTTCATTTCAACACTAATTATTTTCCATCTTCTCTATCTGTAACATTCTCCTTGTACCTTTCAACTTTAATTTAAGTTAATCCAACCGAGGATCTTCAACTAGCTCTGTATCTTGCAAAAGTCTTTAGCTCCTGCAATGTCTTTCCTCTCGCTTTTCCCAAATCTTGTTATCTTATCTCTCTTACCCCGAATCCCCTACCCCACTAGCGGATCCAGGATTTAATTTTGGGGGGGGAGGCTTCAGCCCGAAAGATTTTTTTTTCATATATATATATAACGATAATTAATTTGAAAAAAAAAGAAACTAACTACCCTTATGACATGGTGTCTTAGTGATTCTTAAAGTCCTATTAAATGTAATTACATGAACAATAACACTTTAAGAGATAGTTTTTAATATTTTTTCTATAAAATATGGTTATATTTTACCATTTTGGGGGGGGGGAGCTTCAGCCCAAAAGCCCTCCCCCCGTAAATCCGCCTGTGCCCTACTCGCCTCCATAAACTCGAGTGGGTCATAATCAAAATCTCAATCATTTGCAGAATGTGCCCTGATTGTGGTCCTGAGATATCAATCTTCATAATATATATAAAAGAGAATTAAATATTTGTATTTTAGTGTTGCCAATCTTATTTTACTCTCATTTCATGGTTATTATTTATATTGCTTACCTGAGCAAATATGTAAACATAAGGACATTTATTTTCATTATTTCATTTGCTTACTTATGTCCTTAATTTTAATTTTCATATTACATAAGTTTATGATATAATTATTTTTTGTCTTCTATGTGATATGTAATCATGTGCAACATAAATCTAAATGTAATTGTTGTATTTCACTTTTATTATTCTTGGAGGAATGAATGTACCAGAATGAAATTTCTTCTTTTTGTTCTTTCTTAATAATAGTAAAAAAGAAAATTTTAACATATCGATTATAATATTTTATAAAATAAATAATTGTTTAATAAAATTAAGAGGGGCAACTACCTACTTAACCGCCAGAGTGCGCCAGTTCGGCTTTGATACTGTACTCCTTACAAAGTACAGAACTAAACAACCTTCATGGGTTGTAGTGGTACAGGTTTTTTTAATAAATTAAATATGTGTATAAACATATACAATTTCTTTCTTTATAAGAAATATAGATGATAAAGATGGTGTTATATTTGCACTGCATTTTATTGGTCATTCCTTCATAATTTATAAAAAACGATTATGAAGTGATAATCCAAAACGATTATAAGAGACGAGCATATGAGCACCTAACTAATGATTAGATGAGTTGAATGCAAAATTAACAACATTGTAATTCAATTGTCGTTCTTCATACAAATAATACGATCCCAGTACTTTCTTGTACTGTATATTTTACATAAAAGTAAAAAAAAAGCTTATCATTTTTATTTTTATTTGATAGATTTTAGGCCACTGGACACCAATAAAATACGTTTTTATTCTATTTCTTTATTTTCCAACGGATTCTTGAGCCATTATCAAGAATCTACAAAAATTGATTAATTTATTCAATTTTCTTTAAAATATTTCAATTTTTATACTTTTTGTAAATACATCTTTCTTATGCTATATTATTATTATATTTAAAACTTAGTGTATAGAGTATAATAAATTTTGGTTTAAATTAATGGAAATTACTTACCCTGCACCGTTTTATAAAAAAAATATTATATCATATACTAAGTGTTAAATATAATAAGGACAATTTATTTATATAAAGTATAAAAGTTAAAATATTTTATAGAAAAGTGATTAAAATTTTCTTACAAACTCTTGAAAATGGCTCAATAAATCGAAACGTAGGCAGATAAAGAAACGCAATAAAAACCTACTTTATTGGAGAGCTGTGGCCTAAAATCTATTAAATAAAAACATAATAAAATGGCACCGAACGTAAAAAAATATGACAAGAAAATTATCATTTTTTTTTGTACTAATGGTGCCCGAATAGGCAAAACGTTTACTGGTTAGTTATTTTACAGATTTAATCTTTCTAATAGTATAACCATTCTGTTTTCGTGCAGCTGTCCTATTCGGACTCTGTCGTTTCTAATAATCACACTATTATTATCAGTTATATTTCTCTATTGTTTAAATCCAAAACATTGTTTATTAACAAACGATGCTATTTAATTTGTATTAATATTGTGAATAATACAATTAATATTGGGTTGACAAATAAGTCCTTTCGGCTTTTCTGTTTATTTTTATGTCATTATGATACACTTCTTATCTGATGAATTAATCCCTAAGGTGGATTGTTTATCCGGTTTGTAATATGTCAACACATATATCTGTTAACTCTTGTTGAGACTAGCTTAGTATTGTGTTTGCTATTGCACTGTGAATATAGAAGAAAATATCATTCATTATCGGCATAGTTTGATGTATTATTTAAAAAAAGGTAAGCGTGCTGCAGAAGCTCATAAAAAAATTTGCGGTGTTTATGAGGATGATGCCTTAACTTTTAAATTATTACACAACGGTTTATCATTTCCAAACAATTTAACATAAAAATTATGATTACTTTCTATGTAACATTAAGGAAAATAAATAAAAAAGGATTCCTAACATTGGTCTTTATAATTTTCTTTTTTATCACTGAAAATTTGCAAAAAAAATAGACAACATTGTTGACCGAAAATAGACAGTTGATGCAAAACTTTCAAAAAATCAAAAACCAAAACAAAAGTTATAAACACTACACTAGAACATTTAAAATATATTTAGAACACCATATCTTTGTCCCAAATTGTCCTATTTCAAAGAATTTTGTTTTGCTTGTAGTAAAATTCTTGAAAGTTTAAATAATCAATACAATATTCACAAAAAAATTGTATACTTTTTGAGTTATTCAAAAATGTAATTTTACCACCTCTCGTAAATTGTTTTCAACTTTTTTTCGTTTAAGTACGTTACATAGATAAAGGTCATCGAGGAGAAGACTTAAACCAAGTTTCATTGAAATTGGTATATTCGTTCAGGGGCTACAGTCTATACCAACACAGGTTTTTCGGCCGCCATCTTGGAAGGAAGGGCGGATCGTAATGTGGAGGTAGCAGGATCACCCTCGGGTGACCTCTGACTTTGATTCAAAATTTGAAAAAAAAAATCGGTCGAGTAGTCTCGGAGAAAAACCGCGGACGGCGGACAGACAAATTTTTTTTTTTTTATTTTCGAATTCTACATAACCTCAAATTTTGAACGAGGGTTAACTTTTTTATTTTTTTGGACATCTTTTTGACCATTATTTATATGGAATGGTTCATTATTGAAAATAACCAAAAAGACTTTATTTATTTCACTTGACAATAAAATGGAATTATATAATACCTGGTGGAAGGCAGTGGATCAGCTGATGCGAAGGTTGTCTCCTCAACTCCTCTCTCAGTTTTTGCCAATTTTATAGCGGAATCTCTCTGATTATTCACGTAATACAGTTAAAGTGTATATCAGAGCAGTTGATATTTACTGTTGACATCTTTTTTTTTTGTTATTTAAAGAAAAAAAAATATAATTTTTTTTAATTTATTTTTTTTTTCTCTTATGATATGCGGTATGATCAGCAAGTGATGGCCAGTAAGGTGCCCAAGAGGTATCGGTCAGACGGAGTTAGCTCACCAGCCAAACAAAGGACTCGTCGCTGCCTACGAGAAATACCTCCACTGACCAAAATGAACACTTCAGAACCAGAAACTCAGCCCCAACCAGGTACGTCTGCACAAGAAACGATTGAAGAATCGCCTTTCTTTACTCCAAACCCCTACCAAGTGCTTCAAAATGACCGAGAAGTAATGGAGTCTGCAGCAATACCCAGAGAACCAAAGCCTCCTCCGATATTTGTGAAAAATATAAAAAATTTCCAGATGTTCTGCACCCAACTAAATAAAATCTGCTCTGGCAGTTATTCATGCCATAACAGGACCAATGACACCAAAATAACACCTGATTCTGCAGAAGCCTACCGAAAAATAGTGAAGTACTTATCAGAAACAAATGCGAATTTTCACACTTACCAGCTGAGGCAGGAAAGAGCTTTACGAGTAGTGATAAGAAATTTACACTCCTCAACCCCCACTGAAGTTATTAAAGAAGAACTAACGACGCTTGGT